ACCCTGTATATTCGTACGTTTAGAATAAATTTCCCCTCCATCTTACAACGCACGAAGTTGGCACCGCGATATTCGACAAAAGACAATTCATACTACCATTTTATTCTAGACTTTAGAACTTGTCATTTAAGATTGAAACATTCCCTTCTCTATAATAAATATGATTGGCGCTATATCGATCCTATTTTACGATACGTTCAAGTGTACCAGCATTGGATCCGGAAATGTTTTCTGTGGGTGTAGATAAGTTTAGGCCAGGGTTGGGAAAGTTACACGGAGAATTTTCTCTGAAAATTTCTCCTGAAAATCACGTAATCGTGGGACGACGTGGCATTTTGAAGAACTTTATGAGAATTTTCCAAAATTGTACCATACATTTCATTAGTAAAGTGTACATTTAGTATAATTAGTACTAAAATGTATGTGTAAAATTAAAACAAAAACTCTGATAAAGTTCTTCATAACGCCACGTCCCACGATTACAATATTTTCAGGGTAAATTTGAAGTGAACATTCTCTCCGTGTACTTTACAAGAGGATCTAGTTACTGTTGCAGTTCTTTCGCTAAAAATGTAACTAGTTACAGTTACAAGTTACCAATTCTGAAAATTAACGCGTTACAGTTACTCAATAAGCAACGAATCGTTCATTTGCAGTCACTTCCTTGCAATGAAAAAAAATCAAATCTGCATTTGAATTGTAAAGCGCCGATAAAGGCGTTTATGAGTAAATGCAAGACCTAGTGCGATCTGCGGAGGTTTGTAACATACATAAAGTAACTATTAATGCAACTGAGTTTAGTTACAGTTACAGACGGAGAGAAAGTAACGAAGTTAAGTTAGAGTTACCAAAAAATGTAACTGTAGCTGTAACTTCGTTAGAAGCAACGAGTTACTGCCCAACTGATTAAAGCCAATATTACATTTGTCGTACGACAAATGTTTCAAGCGTGTCGATTGGTTGCTGAATAGTAAATGTCTGGACACTCGAGAATTTTACTATCTTACAGCCAATCAACACGCTTGAAAAATTTGTCGTACGACAAATGTGATACCAGCCTGAAGCCTGGGGCTCGTTCTTGAATTCATTCGAAAGAGAAACTTATGCGAAACTCCCGCTCTCACAGAAACGTTGAAAGTCGATTGGTTAAAAACCACGCGAATAGCCAATCAACTTGCAACTTTTATCTAATTGTAAGAGCGTTATTATATATTTCGCATACGTTTCTCCTTCGAATGCAGTCAAGAATCGAGTCCCTGATCTACAATGTGCGCTTTGCGACTAGAAACACTTTAGTTTGCGGCCAATAAATATATTTAAAAAATTAGCGTTTCCTTGACCATACCTGGCATTTTTACCAATGCAGAAAATTTATATTGCAGAAAATATTACCTCTAATACTTTTCGCAATAAACTTTCTGTACTATTAAAAATGCCAGGTGTGGCCAAGAAAACACCGACGCTGTTTATTATCGCTGGCGACATTGAAGAATTCTTATCAGTTTAAAAAATGAATTACCGCATTAATTAGGCGATGGCTCTGACCTTTGCTTATTAGCAATTTGAATTATATTCGTGGGAGCCTTCCAATCTTCAATAAAAACAAAACTTGCGCAAATTGACAAGTTACACATTGTCAGCAAGGTTTCAAGCGGATTGAGTTGCTTATAAAAAGAGAATGTTTCTAATCGCAAAGGGCACGTTGTAGACCAGGCCTGAATACTCCCATTTTCTCGCAGAGAGCAGCGACATTCTGACATTTTACGAGGAACGCTCGTCCCACGAGCGATACGGTTTTCGTAGAAACATTCTCTGAAACGAAACCGAGGAAAGAAGCGAACGCTTCGGTTCGAAAGACATTTTCCACGACTGTTTGCAACCCGTTTGAATCCTCAACTCTCAATTCCCCGTGCGGTAAAAGGACGTCGCTCGGCTGCGAGCATGCAAGATCAGCCCTCGCCTTTTCTACCCGCGTTACTCACGGGCGACCCAATATGTATACACACTCGTTCGATTCGAAACGACGTCAATTATGAAAACGGTCCGCGCGGAGCGCGGGCAAGCCCCCCGGCCCGGATTGTAAACACGCGGGGCGACGCGAGCGAGCTAAAACATTTACTACGCGGGGGACCCGGGACGCGAAATTGAAGCGGCACGAACGAGTCGTAGGCGCGCCCGTCGAGCGTCCGGAAGAGGAGAGAAGCGCGTCCGCCTGGCTGCCCCGCGCGGAGCTGGCGCACGCGAGCCGCGGCCACGTGTTACGATAATTAAGCGGGGTACAATCGATAACGCGACCAATCAATGGCAACGTCCGGCGTCGCGCGGACGGACGGACGGACGGACGGCGGAGCAGGGCACAAAAGGGACGGAGTCGCGAATAACGGGCGATCCGTTACCTTCCGCGAGCGCGATCGACGGGCAAGCCCGTTCCCGCGGTCGTCGCCGCGACGCGCCCCGGTTTTCCCCGACGATTCTACGTGCCGGTCGCTACCCGGGATGGCCACCAGGTCGATCGATTCCCCCTCGCGTTCGCGCCCGATTCGCGCGCGCACGCAGCGCGCGCGCGCGGAGGCGGCGAAGGAGGAGGTTAGGTCTCGGCGGCGCGTGCCGTCGCCTCTCGCCCGTTTGCCCCCGGGAGGCGCGAACGACGGCGACGACGACGACGACGAGGAGGAGCGAACGGCGAGGCGCGCGGCGGCTCCGCCGTCGCGTCGTCCGGCGCGAGGAGATATCGACCGGCCGGTCGCGCGCGGACACGCGAGAACTCGGCCGAAGCCGCGCGACGGATAGATCGGCGGGCGGGCGAAACGTAGCGACGCGTATCTGAACTTGGATGTGTCAGGCACTGTTGTCGAGCGGGGGAAACACCATAGCCTCTCTAACCTCGAAAGAGACATCTTTTTCTCTCTCTCTCTCTCGCTCGCGCGCTCTCTCGGTCTCTCCAGACGGCACCGAGCTACCCTCCGCTCGCACTCGCGGATTCACGCGCACTCGCGAGTACTCGGGCACTCGCGGGCGGGAAACGGAGCGACACACAAGATACACAAGATGCACCTACCTATGGGGGGGAGGAGGGGGAGCGGGCTCTATGGTGCCGCGCGCGCCTATAGGCCGTGACACGGCCGGCAATGAACGGCGCGCATCCTCCTCGGAGCACCGGCGAACGCCGACTGTCCGCGTCGTCCCGCGCGCGTCGGTAGCATTCGAGACGGGTCTACGAGCGACCAGCTGAGTCGAAAGCTGCTGCTGCTGCTGCTGCGCCTGCTGCTGCCACTGTCGTCGTCGCCGCCGCCGCTACCGCCACCGCCGCCGCTGCTGGCCGCCTCCGTGACTGGCCCCGTGCTCCGCGCGAGCTACCGGCGGCGAGTACGCGCTGTCCCTCGCGTCCGCGTTCGTTACCGCGGTGGCACGACTCGGCACGATTACGACACACCCGACGCGAGCGGCGCGCCTGCATCCGGAACGACGGGACACCAGCGGGCTCCCGGTGCGCGCTGGCGGAGGAGCAGCACACGCGCGAAATACCCCGCGCGGGGAACCCGCGTCGGTCGGTGAGAAAGAGAGGGAAGCGCGAATTGGATCGAACGGGAAAGGAGAGAGAGAGGAGAGGCGCGCCGCACAACCGCGAGTCACGTCACTCCGCGCCGTCACTGTCGTCCCCCCCACCCGGCCCGGCGGCGGTGCGCGCGCGCGGCGGGCGGCGCCACCGAACGCGCGCGCGATTGTCGCTGCCTTACCGGCGACGGCGCGCCGCCGCCTTATCGGCGGAACTCGCGCGCGGTCCGCTTGAATTTGCGCGGGACTTGAAATTTATTGTTGTCCCGATAAATTAACAGTAAAATGAGCATCAAATTTACCAATTGTAAAATTGGTCAATAGCAAATTGACGTGACAGAGCAAGTCTTAGGAACGTGGAGAGTATTACTTAAAGATTCTAATAAAATCTGTAATTTTCTGCAATTTAAATTACGCATTGTAAAAACGCCCTAGTACGTTGTTTGCTTCTCTCGAATACGACTGCAAACACCACGCCCTAGTGCGCGGTGTTGCAATTAAAAAAAACAGCAACGCTACTCCCTCAACGATATCGCGGGGATGTAACTGCGACGCTTGGTCGAGCTGAGATCGCCGGTTTAAAAGTACACCGTAACAAAGATATCGTCGGCTTGGGTTTACGAGATCAAACGTATCGTATTAATGAGAGCGAGGTGTTACTTCGAACGGCGCCGAGGCGTCTTCGTTTGGAAACACGAGAGCTCGGGCCGCGATCGCACCGCCGGCTACGAGCGCTCGTCTTCCAAGTATTCTTCTAAGAGACATGATTCGCCGAAACGTTGTCGAATCGATATCAATGTGTCGATGTCGACGCGGCGTCGTTCGACGAGTTATCTCTCGCTGGGAAGCGCCTACGGATCGTCCTCTGCCATCAACCAAACGCCCCGAAACATTTCCCAGTGAGAAATGATTCGTCGATCGACGTCGAAACGACGCCGAATCGACATCGACGCCGTCGAATTGACGTCGATTCGACATCGTTTCGACGTCGATCGACGGATCATTTCTCACTGGGTTGTAACCGCAACCCAGATTCTAATCCCAATCTCAATTCGTAGTCTGACACGGGCTTCACCGTTGCCACGTATTTACGATATGTCCGCTACCTGGTCGGCCCCGTCCTGTCGCCTCGCTCAACGACGCGCGGTTGTTACATCAGAAACCCAACGGAGCGTGCGTACACGCGCGCATGCACGCACACACGCACAGCGGAGAGATGTCACTGATCTGGAGCCGTATATAAAGCGCGCGCCGACGGTGCAGCTGAGTAGCTGACACCGTGCTGACAGTAGCGTACGCGCGGCCCGCGCAGCTCTGATCACTCGCGCCCGGAAGTGAGTCGTACGTCGAGAGAGAGAGAGAAAGCGTACGGAGTCCGTTATCTACAACATTTTACTTCGCCGTTATCGCCGCGACATCGCGCTCTCGCTTTCTTTCCCTCTCACGCGGAGGCTCCGACAAACACCCCTGCGACATCCGCAAGCCGGACTCCGTACACGCGCGCGCACGTGGCACCTCTCGCCGGCAACATGTGCGGGATCTGGGCGCTATTCGGGCTGGACAACGAACCCCTGACCTGCATCTGCGAGAACTTCGACAAGATCTCGCACCGCGGCCCGGAAGCGTTTAAAATAGAGTTCGACAGCAGAGTCAAGGTGAGCCTGGGGTCTATTCTGTATCTTGCGCCGTAGTGACAATGCTAAACGGTCTCTTCAAGAAGAGACGGAGCCGCTCGCTCTTAGCACTTTCACTGTCTCGCGTAAGACGCAGAATTGACCGCGTTCTCGCGGAAATTCATTTCGTTTCGCTCGCACTCGCGCACATTCGCGTTGACGTTTCCTCGTTTTGCAGAATGGCTACCTGGGCTTTCACAGACTTGCCATCGTCGACGGCCTCTACGGGATGCAGCCGATGAGGATACACAAGTATCCCCATCTGTTTCTCCTGTGCAACGGCGAAATATACAATTGCAATAGGGTAAGGCTCCTCGCGCTGTCCCCGGGTTGTCGGAATGCGAGTAAAAATGCAACGTTTTGCAGCTGCAAAAACAACACGGTTTCGAGTACTCCACCAAGTGCGACGTGGAAGTGATCATGCACATGTACGCCTGCGCCGGCGCCAACGGCGTCGCTCAGTCCCTCGACGGTGTGTTCGCATTTTGTCTGATGGACGTCTCGAAGCGGAGGCTACTGATCGCCAGGGATCCCTACGGCGTGAGACCGCTGTTCAGATTGCGTTCGGACAATGGACAACTTGCCATCTCTTCGGAGAGCAAGGTGCATCGATAAGCGAATCGCTTCCTTTCTGATTGTCAAGCTTTTTGTTCGTCAGAAATAACAGTTGAAAAACGTTCTCGACGAATGTTCTAAAGTCGTTCTTCTTTGTTACGCATGTACGATTTCTAATTGTAATAGTCTATATATATATATTTATAGAATGTTCGATTGGAATATTCTGAAATTATTTGCACTCCAGAAGAATATTCGTACAACTAGGCCGGACGTGGGCGAAAACTCTTGGCTACGATTACAGCCGATGAACGTCCTTAAACTAACTATGCGTTTTAGGGTCTGATGGCAATGTCGAAGCACGTAAATGGCAAATGGACGCTGGAGCCGTTTCCTCCGGGTCATTACGAGAAGTATGAGATCTTGCACAACGGTCGAATAAAGCTTCTGGAGAGCTGCCGTTATCACAGGCCCGGCGACAAACCTTCCTTCCACACATACATCCCTTGGGACGGTGAGATAATCCACGCGCGATACACCGCGGATATATCTTATAGCACATTTTATTTATTACAGCTTTGTCTCCGATCAATATCGAGGGCAACATTCGAAAGCTGCTCTCGGCAGCAGTGGAGAAGCGACTAATGGGCGACAGACGGATTGGTTGCCTCTTGTCAGGTGGCTTGGACTCGAGCCTGGTCGCCGCTTTATTGGTGAAGCATGCGAAGAAATACAACCTGTCGTACAAGATTCAGAGCTTCGCGATTGGTATGGACGACAGTCCGGACATTGTCGCTGCCAGACAGGTTCGTGGAAAGAGCCTCTGGCTCTCGTCTTTCTTCATTGCAATCGCGTGAAAGCTGGAATTTCTTTTGCCACAGGTTGCAAACTACATCGGGACTGAGCATCACGAGATTATCTTCACGCCGCAGGATGTGAAGGATGTCCTGAACAAAGTCATATATTCCTTGGAAACATATGACATCACTACTGTTCGCGCTTCTGTCGGGTAAAACGCTTTATCGATCGGTATCCAGTTTGTGACTTTTGAGTTTCCAAACTGTCCAATATTACAAATTTGAGAGTCGTAGGAAAAGAGTTTGCACTCAATTCTTTTCTTCTTTCTCACTCTCTTAAAAATAATAAACTGCCCCAGTGAGAAAACGTTCTGTACATAATATTGAGACTTCTTGCCTGTAGGATGTACCTCCTTTCGAGATACATAAAGCAAAACACCGAGACAACTGTGATCTTCAGCGGGGAGGGCGCGGACGAGCTGGCGCAAGGCTACATTTACTTCAGGAATGCGCCCAATGCGAGAGACGCGCACGACGAATCTGTTCGATTACTGGATGACATATATTTGTATGATGGCTTAAGAGCCGATAGAACCACCAGTGCCTTCAGTTTGGAGCTCAGAGTACCTTTTTTGGACCTTCAATTTACAAACTATTATCTGTCGTTGGATCCTCACAGTAGACAACCGCAAGGTAGAGCAATGGCCACTTGTAATAAATATTACTACGAGCGATACATATTACGAATCAAATAATTAATTTGTACATGAAGATTTGGCACGGCAGAAAATGAGCATCTTGTATTTGTGTGCGCAGGTGGAGTCGAGAAGCATTTGTTACGATCCGCGTTCGACGAAAGTGGCTTGTTGCCTCATAACATACTCTGGCGGCATAAAGAGGCGTTCAGCGACGGCGTCGCTTCCACAAAGAAATCGCTTTTCGAAGTAATTGACGAGATCGTAGAGTACCGCGTCTCCGACGAGGACTTGTTAGACGCTCACGCTAAGTACCCCCATTGCACACCCAGAACAAAACAAGCCTACTATTACAGGTAATGGGACGAAAATATCACCAGTGAACTTGCTATTGTTTGACCTAATCGGAGTCTGTTCAACATTTTTAATCGGCCCTTCTATTTCTGGCAACTCCCGAAAGGAAGAGAGAATAAACGAAACGGAAAGAGAAGGGAGAAGAGTAAGATAGAAATAGCGATCCTACTCTCTCGCAGAAATTTGTCAGACTCCGATTATACTTTAATTTGACCGAACTGAACGACGCATAATTTTTTCCTGCCTTCGCTAGACATATCTTCGAGTTACATTACAAAGGGCAGGCGGAAAGTTTTACGCCTTACTTTTGGATGCCACGCTGGGTGGAAGGCGTCACCGATCCATCTGCGCGATTTATTGAGCATTATGCGGCAAACGGCGAAGAGAGTCAGCTTTCGATTTCGAAAAACGAAAGAATCAAAGAACATCATATGTAACATATGTACACATACCATGTTCATTATTGTGAAATATTAATAAAGATCTTATTACTGCATGTATATGTATTGTCTTTTTATTGAATGTGCAACCTCGTCCCGTGCATATTCGCGACTACGTCAAATACGAATGATCTCAGCAAATTTTGCTTCGGACACGTAAACGAAATAGCGACTTATTAATCCGCACGTGGTCGAAATCTTTTAAGAGAGGACATTCAAAAATCTTAAAGATTTTTCGTTACTGTAGAAGATGCAAGAAAAATGCACGTAAGACGGCGGCTGTGAGAAAATCATTTGTGTTCTTCTAGTAAAATTCTTTTTACGTACTTATTATATTAAAGTTATTGTTACTTCGTTAATTTACGTTACCTATCTTTTAAATTAACATTTATAATAAAATTTATAATAAAATAACTTACTGCCTATCCTGGTAAAAATTCCGTTAGAAACGGATAGAATATGCATTAAATTCTATCTGTTTCTGACTGTTCTACTATGCGTTTTCGCGAAATATATGTTCCGGTAACTCTGAGGATTGCCTCAGGTCCGAAACGGTGCGTGGATTCCGCC